TGTGCTATCTAACCTAATGTATATCCTAACCTTATTTATATGATGTTAGGTAGTATTATATACTATCTAATATATTTTATATATTTAATATTATTTATTTTTTTATATTTATTTAGATTAAAAAATAAACAATTTTTTTATATTAATATATGTATAATATTATTTATATATATATATATAAACTACAATTTAGGTAGTCATCACATAGGTAGTATCACATTTATATTTATATATTATAGATATTATAATAATATGTGTAATAATTATCATTATATATTATATTATATTATATTATATTATATTATATTATATTATATTATATTATATTATATTATTATATTATAATTTATATTTAATATAATATAAAATAAAAATATGAATGAGTATAATATATATATATATATATACAATTAATGATACTACATATACAATTTTTAAAAGATAGATATAATAGAAAGTAAAGATTTGTTTTTTTTAATCTATTTTATTTTCTACTTTTTTTTTCTAATACACATACCCGTTTATCTTTCCACCCTACCAAGGGTGGAAAACAGATGACGAAACTCAATACCCATACCGTGGCAACTAGAAGTTTCGCACGTTTCGGTGACATTAACTGTAAAATCGAATATAAATTGATTGATCAATAATAATATTGAGTAAAAAACAATGAATGAGTGAATGAATGAATGAATGACTGGGTTAATGAACGAATGAGTGAGAAAGAATGAATGAAGGAGTGAGAACAAATGATTGAATAGATGAGTGAATGAATGAATGAACGAACGAGTGATTGAGAAAGAATGATAGTTCAGAGAAAGTAAGACTATCTAATAAACGGACTACTACTATTTGAGATATTCCAACTGTTTGAACGATRTATGTATGTGTGTCTGTTGATTACTTGCCTGGGGATAACTGACGGGTCTGGTCACCGCCAGATATCTGTCGAGACTGATTGCACAAAGGTTCAGTATCGACGCGGTACACATCCAAACGTCGACTGCTAACCAAACTGAACACCATAGATCACCGAATATCCAGACCTTTGAAAAAAAAAAACAAAAAGAAAGAAAGAAAGACAAAGACAGAGAGAGTGATAGAAAGTGAAAGAGAAAGAGAGACAAAATAAAATAAAAAAAAAAATATAAAAACAAAGTAGAGTTGAGTTGAAAAAGTAAAGTTTCACATGAGATTCGTTATCTCGGTCTGAATGTCTTTTAATACACACATGTATTTTGAACTTTTCAGATAGAAAAAGAAAGGGAATATATATAAAGGTTGTATATATATATATAAAGGTTCATTTATAAGGTTTATAGTGATACAGGTTAGATCTCGATCATGTTATCTGTAAAGCGTGTGTGGTTAGAACAAGATGAGGATGTTCTCAGTATCACATTAATGCTACGACTAAATCGATCTTTATATACATGTATGTATGTATATATGTATGTGTGTGTATGTGTAATGCATATGCGTATGTATGTTTCTTGATTATGGTTACTAGCCACGCGTACCTATCACCTATTTACCTAATACATATATATATATATATATATATATATATATATATATATATATATGTGTGTAAGGATTATATATATGTATGTGGGTGAGAGGTAGGTATTCGAATGGGACAACCAAAGGGCTAAAGGGCCGTTTCACGGCTCGTTTTGTAGCTAAGTGTTCCTGCATAATGCCTTATCATCTTGTATGTAACACAACGTATGTATGGCCTTTATGCTATAGTCAGAATTTCTATCTCTCTCTCTCTCTCTCAAATTCATATGTACTAGACTATACGACTAGTATTAGTGTATACGTGTGTGTGAGTGCACACGTAGGCGGAGACTTTGGCAACCACCTGTTTCAAATTACTCTTCTACCCTAATATCGATATTCCAAACGATACGCGTTCGATCAAATCAAATTGTTGGCTGAATGAATTTATTTATATAATATATATATATATATAGATAACAAATTCCATAAAATGATATTTGATATTTGTTTATATAATAAATATATAATCAATTCTATAAATTGATATACGAATAAAGGAATGTACGAATTAACAGTATACCTATTTAACATTTACAATTAGTTTTATACCTGTTCTTAGTGAGTTTAAAAATTAAAAAATAACACATGTTTCATATAAAATGAGATTTTTAAACAATTAAATAATGAAAGATATACTTCATTTTTATTTGAACCTACGTTAGTAAATATGATTTTGTGTTAATAATTAACAAGAATAAATTTCTTTATATATATAAATTACGTGTCACGTTGTTTGTCCGCAATAGACTCCTAAACTACTGAACCGATTTTAATCAAATTTTGCACACTGTATGCACTCCTATCCAACTTGAAAGATAGGATAGTTTATAATCTCAATTTATAATCGCAATTAACTTAAAAACGTGTGTATCGGATTCATTGTGAGCCACAGTAACGCGTGGCGGGGCACCCCTAGTAAATATATATTCCTGACGCTCGTATGGACAAGTTATCATGTAGATGCCGGATATATACGGCACTTGAAGGGAATAGGTTAAAATAATAATAATAATAATTGAAAAATCTTACTTTGAATACTTCCCAAGTTGCACTGAACGGAAGTACGGCCAATCCGACCAATAAATCGGCAACTGCCAAACTTACGATGAACATGTTTGTCACGTTTCTTAATTTGTTCGTATAATATACCGCTAATATAACGAGAACATTACCGAGCACTACCATAACGTTAACGATTGCCAATGTGATCAATGTTAAAAGGATCCACGGGCCGGACCAATCTACGCCCTCGTACAAAGCGTTGCATGCACTGGCGTTCAATTCTCGCATTTTAATTTGACTCTGATACCAAAAGATCAGAATCTTCCTTTTTTTTGTTTAATTTAACACTAGGATGATGAAAATTAATCAAATTGTTTGTATATTTGATCGACAATTTTTCAAATACACCAACACCAACACTGACATGATGAATTTTCTCCATTATTGAGAAAATTTTGGGATTCTTCTTCTTTTTTTTTTCTTCTTCTTGTCTTCTTTTTTGCTTCCTCCCTCTCTCTCTCTCTCTCTCTTTCTATTTTTATTTTGTTTTTTATTTTTCTATAACATTAACACGAATTATTAATTCACTTCACTTTTGGTTTTCTTTTTTTTTTTTCATTTGCAGTTCGAAGATTTTTTTCTTTTTATTATTTTTTTTTTCCCCCTAGTAAAGATAAATTGTTTTTTTTTTTGCGTAAAACAGTTCGTCAAAGTTTGTTCGCAATTATAAAAAAAAAAAAAGAAATAGAAGAACGAGAGAATTCAAATATTTTTTTTTTTTTTAATGAAATCCTTCCCCTTCTTTGTCTTTCTTACGGTGTAAACAAATCCTTATTTTTTTTTTCATTTTTTATTTGTTGTTGTTGTTTTTTTTGTAACCACTGTATCAACACTTATTATTTGTTTATTAATTAAATGTTAATTATATTTAAATTTATTATTATCGTCAATGTTTCACAATTCGTTCCATTTCCAATCATTTTCACGAACGTTCCATCAACACACACATTTTTCTTTTCCTGCACTACTTTTTTGTTTTTGTCAAATTTTTATTTTTTAATAAATATCACACACTATTCCTTTTTTTTTTTTTTTTTTTTTTAAAGTTTGTTCATACAATTTATATGATTAAAGAAGAAATAATGAGAAAAGAGAGAGAGAAAAACACGTAGAAATTATTTGTCAGATAATTTTTTACATGAAATGAAACAAATTGTTATAAAGAAAATTGTTTAAACAATGTTTCACCATTCGTAATTTAAAAATATGTTTTGATAGGTTAGAAATCGTAATAATGATATCATTGAAAATTAATTTCATTGGAAAAATATCGTTTTTATTTGTCACTGATTTAATTAAATCCATTATTATTATTATCATCATTATCAGCATCGTCATACTCATTGTAATAATCGTCATCATTCATCATCATAATAATAATCATCATTTTAATGTCCCATTTTTATTTGACTTGCTAATATTTGCGAATAAACAAAACAACAAAATTTGTATTTGACAATTTTCGTAATTCAAATTAATTAATTAATTAATTAATTAACAACTTTATTATTGGTATCTTTTTTTTTTTTAAATTAATTTTGAGTCGATATTTTTCAACTTTGTGTTTCAATACTTTCATTTTTTTTTTAATTTTTAATTTAATTTTATTTTTTCCTTTATATTTTTCTTATCAAGTTTCTCACTGTTTTTTAGGTTATGAAACAACAAAACTAATCCTCCCTTTCTCTCTCTCTCTCTCTTTCTGTGTATGTGTCACGTTTTTTATTCTTTCTCACTGAACTCTAACCTCGTCGTACGAAAAAAGAAAAAAAGTAAGTCAATAAGTATGTAAAAGTCTCACAATTTTATCATGAAAGCTTTCGAGCTTTTTCACAGATCAAAATCGAATTCATCGTCTACTCGAGATGAGAAATAAGAACAGAGAGAATAAAAGAAAAAGCTTGCATGTATTCTCTCTCTCTCTTTCTCTTTTTCTTTCTTACTTTCTTTATCAAAGTATCTTCTATCTCATTTTATGGTTTTTTTTATATTCAAGGGAGAAAAAAAATGAATTCTCTCGGATTTATAACGAATCAATCACGACGAAGCAATAAGAAAACTATCCCCACCACTCACCACTGTCCCCACCACTCGCCGCTACTCCCACCACTCGCCGCTACTCCCACCACTCGCCGCTACTCCCACCACTCACCGCTATCCCCACCACTCACCACTTTCTGATACACAATAAACACTTATTCTTATTTCTTCTTCAATTTTTCGTCTTCTTATTTTTTATTTCTTTTTTTTTTTTTTACAAGTTCGACGACAATGTTGTACAGCAACTGAAAATCTTCTTTTTATCCTTGATTTATTTCTTTTCTTTCCTTTTATTTCTTACTTTCGCGTCAGTTGATCTTCCACGTGAATGGTCATGTCCTTCCTCCTACTTCTTCTCACCCTCTTTCTTTTTTGTTCACCACCCCGTTTTATTCGATGGTGTACTACTATTCTATCCTCGTTTTCGAGAATCGTTCAACCGATTTTCTTCCTGTTGTGTTACCTTCCTTCAACTAACCCAACACGAGTCCTTTTCTCTTCGTTCGAAGGATGATCCATGTTGGAAGATTATTTTGGTCTTCTTGTATATGGCACCTGAATAAATTATATATATTTTTATTTTTATAATATATATATATACAGGGTGTTTCATATAATTGTATTTACGTAAAGATTTTTCAAGTACTTGGAATAATCTGTGACAACAAAATATTTCAAATAAAAGTTCAAATGTGTTTTCTGATTGAGTATACATTGCAATATATTTTTTTAAGTTATTAATTAATTTTTTACAAGTTTAACAAATATTTTTTCATTTATTATTTAAACGTTTAAATGATGCAACTTTTGTATAAGACACCTTTGTGTATAAACTTTTCGTAATAAATCATAATAAATATTATGTTAAATATAATTGTTGTATACCTTTTATTTATTTATATTTCTGCTTCTTCTTTTTTTTTTTTTTAATATTAATTATCTTTCTTCTTCCTTTATCTTGTGATAATACTTTTATTACTTTTGCTTTTTATGTTAATTTAAAATCAGTCTTTTGTAAAAATGATTTTTACGTGTGTGTGTATGTGTGTGTATGTGTGTGTGTAACACGTTAAAGGGCTAGACGATTTTCTATTAGTCAAAAATCACAGCCAGTCGATAGAGTATTTAATAATAACAACAATAATAATAATAATAATAATAAATAAATAATTAAAAAAAGAAATGAAAACACATAAAAAAGAAAATTTGAGAATGAAATTCAAGAAAAAAAAAAAAAAAAGAAAGAAAAAGAAAATTAGCAAATGAAAATGAAAAAAAAGTAATTCAAAGGGTTAATTTCCTTTTTTTTTCTTTTTTCAATCTATCTTCCTCCTCTTCCTCGTTCGTCCCCTCTTCCCTTTCCTTAAGGTGTCTCAGGTTTATGATGTTAGACGAGTTTTTACGATACTCGACGCACTCTCGATATCTTAGCAATCTGAAGCGGATTTCTTTTCTGATTCGCTTCGCTCGCATTATTTCGACCAATCCTTCTTCACCTTCTCCCCCTTCTTCTTCTTCTTTTTCTTCTTCTTCTTCTTCTTCTTCTTTGTCAACCACACCCTTTCCACAAATTTTATTCCTTTCTAGGAAATCCTCTCGAAGTATACGAAGCGCATTTCCAATTATGCAACCTCGTCTATATTCTTCTGTAACAACCCTTAAACAGTCCTTCTTTCCGATTCTCACGAGATTCCCTGCAACCAATAGAAATTTTTATTTATTTAGTATATCTATATATATATTTATTATTTATATATTCATTAATTTATAAATTTCTTTTACTTAACTTTATCTAACTTCTTGCTTTTTCTTATTAAGCATATGGTTACAATTAAAAATTGTGTTTGCTGCAGTTTTTTTTATATATAATATTAAATATATAAATTAATTATCAATTATATTTAATATTATAAATTAATATTATAATTAATATTATATAATATTATAAATTATTAATTATTTAATGTATTAAATTTCTATTAATATTATATATAATATTATAATATATTATATAATATTATATTATTATTAATATATTAATATTTTTAGGTTAATATAATTTGTAATATAAATTTTTAGGTTAATATAATTTGTAATATAAATTTTTAGATTAATATAATTTTTAATATAGATTTTGAAGTTAATATAATTAAAAATTATATATTTTTAGGTTAATATAATTTTTAATATAAAGTTTTAGGTTAATATAATTTGTAATATAAATTTTGAAGTTAAAATAATTATAAATTATATATTTTTAGGTTAATATAATTAAGAATTATAAAATTTTAGGGTAATATTATTTGTAATATAAATTTTTAGGTTAATATAATTATAAATTATATATTTTTAGGTTAATATAATTAAGAATTATAAAATTTAAGGGTAATGTAATTTGTAATATAAATTTTTAGGTTAATATAATTAAAAAAATATAAAATATTAAGTTAATATAATTTTAAATATAAATTTTGAAGTTAATATAATTTGTAATATAAATTTTTAGGTTAGTATAACTAAAACATATACATTTTCAAGCTAATATAATTTTTAATATAAATTTTTAACTTAATATAATTTTTAATACAAATTTTTACCCCAACATAATTTCTAATATAAATTTTTTCATTTAAAATTATATTTAGAAAAAAAAAATTCTCATAAAATTTCATTTCCATTATGTTTTTTCTTATGCAACTCAAACTTGCACATACACCCTTTTTTTTTATTGATAATTATAATCCTTGTATTAGTTTAAAGTTATTGCAACGACATAAGTCAAAAATAAAATAAAAACAAAAATGACTTCATAAGAGATTAGACGTATTACATAAATCCCATGAGAACTGAACGGAAACTATAGCAAAGATCTAAATGGAATCGTGTTAATAATGAATTATTGTTTGACCATGATCTGGAGTGTTAGCACATGTTACAGATGTTCAAAGTGGTAACCAATAACAACGAGACATTATCTGAAATGTTTATCCAGAGATTGTGTTTATACCCTTTCAAGTGTTTCCCTAATCGATACTGAAGTTACAAGCTCTTGTCTTGTTTAGATTACCTAAACAATAATTCTATGCATTCAAATTGTTGAATCTAAAAATGATAGAAAATTTTCAAAAATATTAGGTGTTTCGGAAAGTTGTTTCATTTTTTGCTGACGCAATAATGACATTAGTTGATGCAAACCGACAAATAGTAAGACATGAGAATCGATGAGAACTTGAATTTATCAAATTCAATTATTTAGGACCACTTGAAAGGTTTAAGTTTAACTTCGAAGCAAAAATTTTCATTTTTATAAAAAAAAAAACGAAACGACTTTCCGAACCACCTAATAAAAACAAAAAAAAAAGGAATGCATACAAAAAAAAAACACAAAAAAAAATTACAAATAAAAACTAAGAAGGGGAAAACAAATAATAACAATAATAAAAATTTCCAATTCGATGAATAAAACTCAGAAAAAAATATATTTTCTGTTTAGCATAAAAAAAAACAAAAAACAAAACAAAAAAAACAATCAAAAAAACGTTCATGACAAATTTTTATTATTCAAACTTCCCTATTATTTTTGTTTTTTCTTCTTTTTTTTATATACACAATCCTGAATATAGATGTCTGTTACAAAATATATATATATATAAATAAATATATATGTATGAATGTGTGTGTGTGTGTCAGTGTTACGTGTTTGTATGTAAAAAAAAACTATGAAAAGAATTCTTTCACGGTAAAAACTCAACTGCACATAAAATCTAAAACCAAAAGCGATTTTCTTTATAAACTTTTCTTTTTGACTTTAACTTGTAAAACTTTTTTAAAGAACGAGAAAGAATAAGAAAGTAGAAAAAAATAAAAGAGAGAAAGAGAAAGAAAGAAAATACTTTTTCTTTTTCAGTGATATCGATTCGATATGCCTAAACGTTTTACATTTTCATATTAGGACGAAACAAACAAAAATTGTCCATTGATTTGATTTTAAAATGTAAACCTGCCCCTCCCCCTCCCACTCCTTCGCCACCCACACCTAACCTCCAAATTTTTAGGAATACATATTACATTCCCAATTTTATTTCTTTCTCTATTTTTCTAGACTGGTTTGGTTTCGTTTTTTTTTCTTTCTTTTTTTTTTTTTTTATTCTTTCTATATTTCTTTTTTAATTAACGACAGAAAAGAAAATCTGCATTTTATGAACAAAAGTAATTTCAAAGTATATATGAATGCGCATATACAATTTTTGATCAAACATTCTCGTTTAGTTTCGTTTCGTTTCGTTTGATCTCGTCTTATCCCGTCTCGTTTCGTCTCGTTTCGTCTCGTTTCGTCTCTTCCCGTCTCGTTTCGTTTCATTTCGTTTCATTTCGTTTCATTTCAAGTTTCGTATCTTTAATTGTTTCGTGATTTATTCACAAAAATAAAAGAAAGAAGATATGATTTAAGTTTCTCGCAATTAACCACCACCACCACCACCATTCATCCCCTACCCCAACACCCTACTCACACCAACATATAATTCTTTATCGATTAAAACGTCGATACAGATAAAAAGATGAAGAACCAAAAATAAGAATAGAAAAAGAATAAAAGAAATGTGCACACTTCTTCTTCTTCTTCTTTTATTTTATTTAAATATTCGTAGTCTCCTTTTGAAGTGGAAAAGAACGAATTCTTTTAAAAACCTCAAAGAGAGAGAGAGAGAGAGGAAGAAAAAGATAGAATGATAGAAAAAGAATGAGAAAGAGAGAGATAGAAACATCTTAAAAGAAGTATTCTATATATATTGAACGTTCACGAATAAAAATGTGAAATAGTAGTGGTAAAAGAATAAAAAAATAAAATAAAATAAAATAAAATAAAATAAAATAAAAATTATAAGTAAAAGTAAAAGAAAATGGATGATAAGTGTAAAAAAAAAAAAAAAATAGAGAGAAGAAGAATCAAAGTGACAATAATTATGAAATATGTTCGTTCATTCGTTTGTTTTAAAGGAAAGATTTTCGAGGTTAGGATTGGGGTTGAAGGGTGGAATGGGGAGGGACTTTCTTACTTAGAAATACAATTTAAACATGATGAAAATACTACGTGAACACACATGTGTTGCTGCTGTGTAGCAGGAAATTAATAGAAACGTGTGAGAGTGAAGTTAAAAGACAAGAGCTGGTTGGTAAAAGCTGTGCGTAAGTCGGTTACTTGAAAGAGAAATGAGATTTTCTTAGTATGCGTGACGTGATATCTTTGTGTTAGAATTATGTGTGTATATATATATATATATATATGATGACTTATTGCAAAAGATTTTAATATTAATATTGATTCAAAGGATAGAAAATTACTAAAAGTATTTTTACTTGTTGTTAATCGTTTTTTTTTTTTTTTTTTTTTACAAAACATTTGGTTCAGAACAAAACAATTAATAATATGTATACATATACATATATATATATATACTAAGATGTTTAGGTTATGAGTTAGTGTGGGTTATTTTATAAAATGTTGATTTAATTTAATTTAATTTTATTTAGTTTAATAAATTATAACAACACACAATAGAAAATAGAAAAAGTAAGGTTAGTACTACCGCATGTAAATTGGAATATATTCAAATAATTGAATAATAATACAGCACCATCTATTGAAAACTTGCAGTACTTGTAATCTTTAAATAATAAATTATTAAATTATCGATAAAAAATATAAAATAAACGCGAACAAAACTATTCTATATATATATAGAAATTTAACAACACACAAAATAATAATACAATTAGAATAGAATACGTAAAATAATAATAGAAAAAGCTAGGTTATGTTACATGTAAATCTGAAGAAAAAGTACGGCGTGAATATAGCAAAATAATTGAATTGTAATACAGAGCCATCTACAACGCCATCTTACAGTACCTAAAGACTTAGTTTAACCTTAAATTAATAAAATCCTTTAAATTAGCGATAAAAAATACAAAATAAACGCGAACATAACTATTCTATATATATATAAATTTAACAAGACACAAAATAATAACACAATTAGAATAGAATACGTAAAATAATAATAGAAAAATCTAGGTTATGTTATATGTAAATCTAAAAAAAAAATGTACAACGTGAATATATCTAAATAATTGAATAGTAATGCAGCACCATCTATTGAAAACTTACAATACCTAGACACTTATATAACCTTTAAATAATAAATCTTTAAATTAGCATACAATATATATATATTTAGTTTTGAAAATTTCTAGTTTAAGTTTAAGTTTTTAAAATACACTGTAAATATAAATCAAAAGTATTTGCACGTATATTTCACTTTGAATATCTATCTAAAGAGTTATTTATCCCTATTTATGTTTCTACCATACACGTCTCTTCTAAAAGCCATGATTACGTATACACGAACATAATATATACATATGTATATATATATATATATATAGGTAAATACATAAATCTAGTTAGATTCTAGAAAATGTTCATATAATCTACGTATATCCCTAGAAAAGGATACAATTATTTGCCAAAGTATTTTTTAACATCCCCACCACTACCCTCTTTTTTTACTTTTAAATTGCAAAACAAATTTAAGCACAAATTTTATCATTTAATTTAATCATTCAAATTGTTTATAATTAAACAATATTCATAAAATTATGTTTAACATTAAATCCACTGATTTTTATTTAA